GCCATAGGGACCCATAGGGACCCATAGGGACCAATAGGGACCATAGGGACCCATAGGGAACCATAGGGACCCATAGGGACCCATAGGGACCCATAGGGACCCATAGGGACCATAGGGACCCATAGGGACCCATAGGGACCCATAGGGACCCATAGGGACCCATAGGGAGCATGGGGACCCATAGAGACCCATAGGGAACCATTGGGAACCATTGGGTACCATTGGGACCCATAGATTCCCCCCCATTGATTCCCATTGATTCCCATTCCCCCCATTGATTCCCATTGATTCCCATTGATTCCCATTCCCCCCCATTCCCCCCATTGATTCCCATTCCCCCCATTGATTCCCCCCCGTTCCCCCCATTGATTCCCCCCCATTGATTCCCATTCCCCCTCCCCCCCATTCCCCCCATTGACCCCCATTGACCCCATTTCCCCCCATTTGCCCCCATTTACCCCCATTCCCCCCCATTGACCCCCATTCCCCCCCATTGCCCCCCATTGACCCCCATTGACCCCCATTCTCACCCCTGACCCCCATTCCCCCCATTCAGCCCCCCATTCACTCCATGGCTCCCCATTGCTCCCCATTCATTTCCATCACGCCCCATTGCTCCCCATTGACCCCCACTGATCCCCGTTCATTCCCCCCCATTGATCCCCCCATCTCCCCCATCTCCCCCCATTCCCCCCCCCCCATCCCCCCCATTGTTCCCCCCATTGACCCCCATTGACCCCATTGATCCCCCCCATTCCCCCATTCATTCCCCCATTGACCCCCATTGACCCCCATTGACCCCATTGACCCCCATTCATTCACCCCTTTGACCCCCACTGATCCCCATTCATTCCCCCCATTGATCCCCATTCATTCCCCCCATTGCTCCCCATTGCTCCCCATCGCTCCCCCCATTGATCCCCATTCATTCCCCATCCCCCCATTGATCCCCATTCTCCCCCCATCTCCCCCCATTCCCCCCCATTTCCCCCCCCATTCCCACCCATTCCCCCCCATCCCCCCATCTCCCCCCATCTCCCCCCATTGATCCCCATTCATTGCCCCCCATCTCCCCCCATTGTTCCCCCCATCTCCCCCCATCCCCCCATTGATCCCCCCATCTCCCCCCATCCCCCCATTGATCCCCCCATCCCCCCATCCCCCCCCCCCCATTCCCCCCCATCCCCCCCCATTCCCCCCCATCCCTTCCCCCCATCCCCATTCCCATCCCCCCATTCCCCCATTCCCCCCCATCCCCCCCATTCCCCCCATCCCCCCCATTCCCCCATCCCCCCATTGCCCCCCATCCCCCCCATTCCCCCTCCCCCCCATCCCCCCCATTCCCCCCCCATTGACCCCCATTCCCCCCCATTTCCCCCATCCCCCCCCACATCCCCCACATTCCCCCCATTTCCCCCCCATTCCCCCCCACATCCCCCCATTCCCCCCATTTCCCCCATTACCCCTATTCCCCCCATCCCCCCCATTCCCCCATCCCCCATTCCCCCCATTGTCCCCCATCCCCCCATTCCCCCCATTCCCCCCATCCCCCCATAGCCCCCATCCCCCCCATCCCCCCCATCCCCCCCATAGCCCCCATCCCCCCCATCCCCCCATTCCCCCCTTGACCCCCATCCCCCCATTCCCCCATTCCCCCATTCCCCCCATCCCCATCCCCCCCATCCCCCCATTCCCCCATTCCCCCATCCCCCCCATTATCCCCCCCCCATCCCCCCCATTCCCCCCCATCCCCCCCAGTCCCCCCATCCCCCCCATTCCCCCCCATTCCCCCATCCCCCCATTCCCCCCATCCCCCCCATTTCCCCCCATCCCCCCCATTCCCCCCCATCTCCCCCCATCCCCCCCCCATCCCCCATCCCCCCCATCCCCCCATTCCCACTGCCCCATCCCCCCATTTCCCCCCCATTCCCCCCATTCCTCCCCCCATCTCCCCCATTCCCCCCATCCTCCCCCCATCCCCCCATCCCCCCATTGCCCCCCACCCCCCCATCCCCCCATCCCCCCCCCCCCCCCATCCCCCCATCCCCCCATTGCCCCCCATCCCCCCCATCCCCCCCTGCCCCCCATCCCCCATCCCGACCATGCCCCCCCATACCGCCCCCCCATTCCCCCCCCCCCCCATCCCCCATCCCGACCCCCATTCCCCCATTCCCCCCATCCCGACCCCCTGCCCCCATTCCCGCAGCCTTCCTGCTGGGGGCGCTGTCGCAGGTGCCCCCCCGCCTGCAGCCGGTCACCGAGGACCACATCCGGATGCTCCGGGTCCTGCAGGCTTCGGGGCTCCGCTGTGTCTATGTGATGCCCCCCCACATCGCGGGTACGCGCCGGGCTCCCCAAATCCCCAAATCCCATTATCCCAACATCCCTGAATCCCATTATCCCCAAATCCCACTATCCCATAGTCACTAAATCCCATAATCACTAGATCCCATTATCCCAATATCCCCAAATCCCATTATCCCAATATCCCTGAATCCCATTATCCCCAAATCCCACTATCCCATAGTCACTAAATCCCATAATCACTAGATCCCATTATCCCAATATCCCCAAATCCCATTATCCCAATATCCCCAAATCCCATTATCCCAATATCCCTGAATCCCATTATCCCAATATCCCCAAATCCCATTATCCCTGAATCCCATTATCCCCAAATCCCACTATACCATAATCACTAGATCCCATAATCACTAGATCCCATTATCCCAATATCCCCAAATCCCATTATCCCATAATCCCCAAATCCCATTATCCCAATATCCCCGAATCCCATTATCCCAATATCCCCAAATCCCATTATCCCATCCCATTATCCCCAAATCCCATTATACCCAATATCCCATAATCACTAGATCCCATTATCCCAATATCCCCAAATCCCATTATCCCATAATCCCCAAATCCCATTATCCCAATATCCCCGAATCCCATTATCCCAATATCCCCAAATCCCACTATCCCATAATCACTAGATCCCATTATCCCAATATCCCCAAATCCCATTATCCCAATATCCCTGAATCCCACTATGCCATTATCCCGTAATCCCATTATCCCAGTATCCCATTATCACATTGGTATCCCATTCTCCCATTGTTACCCCGTCGTTACCCCGTCGTTACCCCATTGTTACCCCATTGTTACCCCATTGTTACCCCATTGTTACCCCATTGTTACCCCATTGTTACCCCATTGTTACCCCATTGTTACCCCATTGTTACCCCATTGTTACCCCATTGTTACCCCATTGCTACCCCATCGCTACCCCATTGTTACCCCATTGTTACCCCATTGTTACCCCATTGCTACCCCATTGTTACCCCATTGTTACCCCATTGTTCCCCCATTGTTACCCCATTGTTACCCCATTGTTACCCCATTGTTACCCCATTGTTCCCCCATTGTTACCCCATTGTTACCCCATTGTTACCCCGTTGTTACCCCATTGTTACCCCATTGTTACCCCGTTGTTACCCCATTGTTACCCCATTGTTACCCCATTGTTACCCCATTGTTACCCCATTGTTACCCCATTGTTCCCCCATTGTTCCCCCATTGTTACCCCATTGCTACCCCATTGTTCCCCCATTGCTCCCCCATCGTTACCCCATTGCTCCCCCATTGCTCCCCCATTGTTACCCCATTGTTACCCCATTGTTACCCCATTGTTACCCCATTGTTGCCCCATTGTTACCCCATTGTTACCCCATTGTTACCCCATTGTTACCCCACTGTTATCCCATTGTTACCCCATTGTTACCCCATTGTTACCCCATTGTTACCCCATTGTTACCCCATTGTTACCCCATTGTTACCTCATTGTTCCCCCGTTGTTACCCCATTGTTACCCCGTTGTTACCCCATTGTTACCCCATTGTTCCCCCGTTGTTACCCCATTGTTACCCCACTGTTACCCCATTGTTGCCCCGTTGTTACCCCATTGTTCCCCCATTGTTACCCCAGGGGGATGGGGGTGTAGGGGGCAGTGTGGGGGGATGGGGGATGAGGGGGGCTTTGGGGGGGAAGGGGTTGGGGGGGGATGGGGCGTGTGGGGGGGGTGGGGGGGTTTGGGGGGGTGGGGTTTGGGGGGGTTGGGAGGGGGGGAGGATGGGGGCTGGGGGGGAAGGGGGGGTGGGGGGATGGGGGGATGAGGGGGCTTTGGGGGGGAAGGGGGGGGAATGGGGGGTGGGGGGGGTTTGGAGGGGGGAGGATGGGGTGTGGGGGGGTATGGGGGTGTAGGGGGGGCAGTGGGGTTGGGGGTTGGGGGGTGGGGGGGAAGGGGGGTGGCAGGGTGTGGGGTAGGGGGTTGGGGGGAATGGGGGGTGTGGGGGGGGAAGGGGGGGTGGGGTTGGAGGGGGTTTGAGGGGGGTGGGGGGATGGGGGAGGTTTGGGGGGGATGGGGGCAGAGGGAGTGTGGGGGGATGGGGTGGGGGGGGTTGGGGGGGCTGGGGGAGGTGTGGGGTATGGTGGGGGTGGGGGGTATAGGGGTTAAAAAGGGGTGATTTGGGGTGATTTTGGGGTAAAAAGGGGTGATTTTGGGTGATTTTGGGGTAAAAGGGGGTGATTTGGGGGTAAAAAGGTGTGATTTTGGGGTCAAAAGGGGTGATTTTGGGGTAAAAAGGTGATTTTGGGGTGATTTGGGGTTAAAAAGGGTGATTTTGGGGTGATTTTGGGGTACAAAGGGGTGATTTTGGGGTAAAAAAGAGGTGATTTTGGGGTCAAAAGAGGTGATTTTGGGTGATTTTGGGGTAAAAAAAGGTGATTTTGGGTGATTTTGGGGTAAAAAGGGGTGATTTGGGGTGATTTTGGGGTAAAAAGGGGTGATTTTGGGGTAAAAAGGGGTGATTTGGGGTGATTTTGGGGTAAAAAGGGGTGATTTTGGGGTAAAAAGAGGTGATTTTGGGGTGATTTTGGGGTCAATAGAAGTGATTTTGGGTGATTTTGGGTTTAAAAGGGGTGATTTGGGGTGATTTTGGTGCCAGGTGCTGTTCCGGGGCGCGCTCCCCACGTGCTCAGCTCAGTACGAGCGGCTCTTCAACACCACCCGGGTGCCCGGAGAGACGCGGGGTGAGCCCCATAGGGACCCAGAGACCCCATAGACCCCATAGAGACCCCATAGACCCCATAGAACCCATAGAGACCCCATAGACCCCATAGAGACCCCAGAGACCCCAGAGACCCCATAGAATCCATAGAGACCCCATAGAACCCATAGAACCCATAGAGACCCCATAGACCCCATAGAACCCATAGAACCCATAGAACCCATAGGGATCCCATAGACCCCATAGACACCCCATAGACACCATAGACCCCCATTTTGGGTCTATTTTGCTCCATTTGGGTCCATTTTGGTCCATTTTGGTTCATTTTGGGTCCAATTCGCTCCATTTTGGGTCCATTTCGGGTCCATTTTGGGTCCATTTCGCTCCATTTTGGGTCCATTTGGGTCCATTTTGGGTCATTTTGGGTCAATTCGTGTGCATTTTGGGTCCATTTTGGGTCAATTCGGGTCCATTTTGGGTCCATTTTGGTCCATTTTGGGTCTATTTTGGTCCATTTTGGGTCCATTTCGCTCCATTTTGGATCCATTTTGCTCCATTTTGGGTCAATTCGGCTCCATTTTTGGTCCGTTTTGCTCCATTTTGGGTCCATCTCGGATCCATTTTGGGTCAATTCGGGTCCATTTTGGGTCCATGTCTCTCCATTTTGGGTCCATTTGGGTCCATTTTGGGTCAATTCGGGTCCATTTTGGGTCAATTTCGCTCCATTTTGGGTCAATTTCGCTCCATTTTGGGTCATTCGGGTCCATTTTGGGTCAATTCGGGCCCATTTTGGGTAAATTCGGGTCAATTTTGGGTCAATTTGGGTCCATTTTGGGTCATTCGGGTCCATTTTGGGTCAATTCGGGTCCATTTTGGGTCCATTTTGGGTAAATTCGGGTCAATTTTGGGTCAATTTGGGTCCATTTTGGGTCAATTCGGGTCCATTTTGGGTCCATTTTGGGTCAATTCGGGTCCATTTTGGGTCCATTTTGGGTCCATTTCGCTAGATTTTGGTCCATTTTGGGTCAATTTCGCTCCATTTTGTTTCAATTTGGGTCCATTTTGGGTCATTTTGGGTCCATTTGGGTCCATTTTGGGTCAATTTCGCTCCATTTTGTTTCAATTCGGGTCCATTTTGGGTCCATTTTGGGTCCATTTTGGGTAAATTCGGGTCAATTTTGGGTCAATTTGGGTCCATTTTGGGTCAATTTCGCTCCATTTTGTTTCAATTTGGGTCCATTTTGGGTCATTTTGGGTCCATTTCGCTCCATTTTGGGTTCATTTTGGGTCAATTTCGCTCCATTTTGTTTCAATTTGGGTCCATTTTGGGTCATTTTGGGTCCATTTCGCTCCATTTTGGGTTCATTTTGGGTCAATTTCGCTCCATTTTGTTTCAATTTGGGTCCATTTTGGGTCATTTTGGGTCCATTTCGCTCCATTTCAGACCGGCTGCAGCACGGGGGGGGGGGCGGTCACGTGGCCGCGCTGCACGGGGGCCGCCTCTTCCTCGTGCCCGTGGGGCGGGGCCCGGCGCCGCGCGCGCTCCAGCGGCGCTTCGAGCACGTGATGCGTGCGTCACGGGGCGGGGCCGGAGGCGGGGCCGGCGTCATGACGTCAGCGAGGAGGTGAGGGGGGGCGGGGCGTGACCGGGAAGGGGGGGGTAATGGGGGTTAATGGGTGCTAACGGGGTTCTATGGGTGCTAACGGGGCTCTATGGGTGCTAATGGGCTCTATGGGACTGTATGGGTGCTCTATGGGTCTCTATGGGTCTCTATGGGTGCTAATGGGCTCTATGGGGCTCTATGGGTGTTAATGGGCTCTATGGGTGTTAATGGGGCCCTATGGGTCTCTATGGGTGTTAATGGGCTCTATGGGGCTCTATGGGTGCTAATGGGCTCTATGGGGCTCTATGGATGCTAATGGGGCTCTATGGGTGCTAATGGGGTCTATGGGGCTCTATGGGTGCTAATGGGGTCTATGGGGCTCTATGGGTGCTAATGGGCTCTATGGGGCTCTATGGGTGTTAATGGGCTATATGGGTGCTAACGGGGCTCTATGGGTGCTAACGGGGCTCTATGGGGCTCTATGGGTGTTAATGGGGTCTATGGGGCTCTATGGGTGCTAATGGGCTCTATGTGTCTCTATGGGTGCTAATGGGCTCTATGGGACTGTATGGGTGCTCTATGGGTCTCTATGGGTCTCTATGGGTGCTAATGGGCTCTATGGGGCTCTATGGGTGTTAATGGGCTCTATGGGTGTTAATGGGGCCCTATGGGTCTCTATGGGTGTTAATGGGCTCTATGGGGCTCTATGGGTGCTAATGGGCTCTATGGGGCTCTATGGATGCTAATGGGGCTCTATGGGTGCTAATGGGGTCTATGGGGCTCTATGGGTGTTAATGGGCTCTATGGGGCTCTATGGGTGTTAATGGGGCTCTATGGGGCTCTATGGGTGTTAATGGGCTCTATGGGTGTTAATGGGGCCCTATGGGTCTCTATGGGTGTTAATGGGCTCTATGGGGCTCTATGGGTGCTAATGGGCTCTATGGGGCTCTATGGGCTCTATGGGTCTCTTTGGGTCTCTATGGGTCTCTATGTGTCTCTATGTGTTTCTATGGGTCTCTATGTGTCTCTATGTGTCTCTATGGGTCTCTATGGGTCTCTATGTGTCTCTATGGGTCTCTATGGGTCTCTATGGATCTCTATGGGTCTCTATGGGCTCTATGGGTCTCTGTGGGTCCCTATGGGCACTAAGGGGGTCCCTGCCCCCCCAGGCCCGCCTGGGCTCGGGTTCGGGCTCTGCTGCAGGCGGGGGGGCCGAGCGCGGCCGCTCTGCGGGCCCTGGAGGAGGCCCCGTTCGTGGTGGCCCTGGACCCCCCCCCCCCGGGCCCCCCCCCCAGCGGGGACCCCCCCAGCGATGGGGACCTGGATGCCGAGGCCAAGGCGCTGCTGCTGGGACCCTGCCACAACCGGTGCGGACCCCCCGAACCCCATTGAAACCCATTGAAACCCCATTGAAACCCATTGAACCACATTGAACCCCATTGAACCCCATTGAAACCTATTGAAACCTATTGAACCCCATTGAGACCTATTGAACACCATTGAACCCCATTGAACCCCATTGATCCCCATTGAACCCCATTGAAACCTATTGAACCCCATTGAGCATCTTTGAAACCTATTGAGCATCATTGAACACCACTGACACCCATTGACACCCATTGAACCCCATTGAACCCCATTGAAACCTATTGAAACCTATTGAAACCTATTGAACCCCATTGAGCATCTTTGAAACCTATTGAGCATCATTGAACACCACTGACACCCATTGAACCCCATTGAACCCCATTGAACCCCATTGAACCCTATTGAAACCCATTGAAACCTATTGAACCCCATTGACACCCATTGAACACCATTGAACCCCATTGAAACCTATTGAACCCCATTGAAACCTATTGAACCCCATTGAACCCCATTGACACCCATTGAATCCCATTGAACCCCATTGAACCCCATTGAAACCTATTGAAACCCCATTGAACACCACTGAAACCCATTGAACCCCATTGAACCCCATTAAAACCTATTGACACCCATTGAACACCATTGAAACCTATTGACACCCATTGATCCCCATTGACACCCATTGATCCCCATTGAACCCCATTGAACCCCATTGAAACCTATTGACACCCATTGAACCCCATTGAACACCACTGACACCATTGACCCCCATTGATCCCCATTGAACACCATTGAAACCCATTGAGCCCCATTGAAACCTATTGACCCCCATTGAACCCCATTGATCCCTATTGATCCCCATTGAGCATCATTGAACACCACTGACACCCATTGACACCAACTGAACCCCATTGACACCCATTGAACCCCATTGAAACCTATTGAACCCCATTGAACCCCATTGATCCCCATTGAGCATCATTGAACACCACTGACACCCATTGACACCCATTGAACCCCATTGAAACCTATTGAACCCCATTGAACCCCATTGAACCCCATTGAAACCTATTGACACCCATTGAACCCCATTGAAACCTATTGAACACCATTGAACCCCATTGATCCCCATTGAACCCCATTGAAACCTATCGAACCCTATTGAAACCTATTGACACCCATTGAACCCCATTGACACCCATTGATCCCCATTGAACCCCATTGATTCCCTTTGACACCCATTGAACCCCATTGATCCCCATTGAACCCCATTGATCCCCATTGACCCCGTTGACCCCCATTGAACCCCATTGACCTCCATTGACCCCATTGACCCCCATTGACCCCCATTGAACCCCATTGAACCCCATTGACCCCATTGAACCCCATTGTCCCCATTGCCCCCCATTGACCTCCATTGATTCCCATTGACCCCCATTGACCCCAGTGATCCCAATTGACCCCCATTGAACCCCATTGACCTCCATTGACCCCATCGAACCCCATTGACCCCATTGAACCCCATTGTCCCCATTGACCCCCATTGACCTCCATTGATCCCCATTGACCCCCATTGACCCCAGTGATCCCAATTGAACCCCATTGACCCCCATTGAACCCCATTGATCCCCATTGACCCCAAATCACCCCCCTTGACCCCCTGGGCGTGCCTGCCCCCTATCTATGGGTCCTGCCCCCCATAACCCCCCCCAGGTGGTTCGACAAGAGCCTGACCCTCATCGTGTTCAGCACCGGGCGCATGGGGCTCAACGTGGAGCACTCATGGGGCGACCCCCCCGTCGCGGGGCATCTATGGGAGGTACCAACCCCCCCCCCAATCCGGACCCCTAAGAACCCCCCATTGACCCCCAAATACCCCCCCATTGACATCAAATATCCACCATTGACCCCCAAGTACCCCCCATTGACACCAAATACCCCCATTGACACCAAATACCCCTCATTGACCCCCAAGTACCCCCCATTGACCCCAAATACCCCCCCATTGACACCAAATATCCACCATTGACCCCTAAGGACCCCACCATTGACCCCCAAGTACCCCCCATTGACCCCAAATACCCCCCCATTGACCTCCAAGTACCCCCCCATTGACCCCCAAGTAGCCCCCCATTGACCCCCAAGTACCCCCCATTGACCCCAAATACCCCTCATTGACCCCTAAGTACCCCCCCATTGACCCCCAAGTAGGCCCCCATTGACCCCTAAGTAGCCTCCCATTGACCCCTAAGTACCCCCCATTGACCCCCAAGTACCTCCCCATGTACCACTAAGTACCCTCCCATCCGGACCCCCAAGTACCCCCCATTGACCCCTAAGTAGCCCCCCATTGACCCCCAAGTACCCCCCATTGACCCCCAAGTAGCTCCCCATGTACCCCTAAGTACCCCCCCATCTGGACCCCCAAGTACCCCCCATTGACCCCTAAGTAGCCCCCCATTGACCCCAAATACCCCCATTGACCCCCAAGTACCTCCCCATTGACCCCCAAGTACCCCCCATTGACCCCTAAGTAGCCCCCCATTGACCCCAAATACCCCCATTGACCCCTAAGTACCCCCCATTGACCCCCAAGTAGCTCCCCATGTACCCCTAAGTATCCCCCCATCTGGACCCCCAAGTACCCCCCCATTGACCCCTAAGTACCCCCCCATTGACCCCCAAGTACCCCCCATTGACCCCTAAGTACACCTCCATTGACCCGCAAGTACCCCCCATGTACCCCTAAATACCCCCCATTGACCCTTAAATACGCCCCATTGACCCCAAATATCCCCCATTGACCCCCAAGTACCTCCCCATTGACCCCCAAATACACCTGATTTACCCTAAATACCCCCCATTGACCCCCAAGTGACCCCCACTGACCCCCAAATACACCCAATTCACCACAAAATACCCCCCATTGATCCCCATTGAACACCATTGCCCCCCTATTGATCCCCCATTGCCCCCCCAATTGACCACCCATTGCCCCTCCATTGCCCCCCATTGAACCCACATTGATCCCTCTTGCCCCCATTGCCCCCCATTGATGTCTAAATACCCCCCATTGACCCCCCCATTGATCCCCCCATTGAACCCCCATTGACCCCCCATTGCCCCCCCATTGCTCCCCCATTGATCCCCCCATTGATCCCCCTTGCCCCCATTGCCCCCCATCGATGCCTAAATACCCCCCATTGACCCCCCCATTGACCCCCCCATTGCCCCCCCCATTGTCCCCTATTGATCCCCCCATTGAACCCCCCATTGTCGCCCCATTGCCCCCCATTGACCCCCCATTGGCCCCCCTTGATCCCCCCATTACCCCCCCGTTGACCCCCCATTGCCCCACACTGACCCCCCCATTGATCCCCCCACTGAGCCCCATTGTCCCCCATTGCCCCACACTGACCCCCCCATTGACCCCCCCATTGCCCCCCCATTGACCCCCCCATTGACCCCACATTGCCCCCCATTGATCCCCCCATTGCCCCCCCATTGACCCCCCATTGCCCCACACTGACCCCCCCCATTGACCCCCCCATTGCCCCCCCCCAGTACACGCTGGCCACAGACCTGGAGCTGGGCTACGAGGCCAATGGCGACTGCAGGGGGGGGGCAGAGGAGGAGCCCGGGGTCCCCCCCCCCCAGCACCTGCAATGGAACATCCCGGCCCAGGTAGGGCGGCAGCGGCGGTGGGAGAGTCCATTGGGGCCAATGGGGGGGGATTGGGGGGGCAATGGGGGGGGATTGGGGTATTTTGGGCTGGGATTGGGCTATTTCGGGGCTATTTTGGGGCTATTTTGGCTTATTTTGGGCTATTTTGGGCTATTTGGGGCTATTTGGGGCTATTTTGGCTTATTTTGGGCTATTTTGGGGTATCTTGGTCTATTTGGGGCTATTTTGGACTATTTTGGTCCATTTTGGACCATTTTGGGGCTATTTTGGTCCATTTTGGACCATTTTGGGGCTATTTTGGTCTATTAAGGGCTATTTTGGACCATTTTGGAGCTATTTTGGTCTATTTTGGACCTTTTTGGGTCCATTTTGGACTATTTTGGACCTTTTTGGGGCTATTTTGTTCTATTTTGGACCATTTGGGGCTATTTTGGTCTATTTGGGGCTATTTTGAACCATTTTGGGTCTATTTTGGTCTATTTGGGGCTATTTTGAACCATTTTGGGTCTATTTTGGTCTATTTGGGGCTATTTTGGACCATTTGGGTCTATTTTGGTCTATGTGTGTCTATTTTGGACCATTTGGGGCTATTTTGGTCTATTTTGGTCCATTTTGGACCATTTGGGGGCTATTTTGGTCTATTAGGGGCTATTTTGGACTATTTTGGAGCTATTTTGGTCTATTTTGGACCATTTTGGGTCTATTTTGGTCTATTTGTGTCTATTTTGGACCATTTTGGGTCTATTTTGGTCTATTTGGGGCTATTTTGGACCATTTTGGGTCTATTTTGGTCTATTTGGGTCTATTTTGGACCATTTGGGGCTATTTTGGACCATTTTAGGGCTATTTTGGTCTATTTGTGTCTATTTTGGACCATTTTGGAGCTATTTTGGTGTATTTTGGACCATTTGGGGTCTATTTTGGACCATTTTGGACCATTTGGGGTCTATTTTCGACCATTTTGGGTCCATTTTGGACAATTTTGTACCATTTTGGGGCCATTTTGTTTTATTTTGGACCATTTTGGGGCTATTTGGGACCATTTTGGACCATTTTGGGTCTATTCTGGTCTATTTGGGTCTATTTTGGACGATTTTGTGTCTATTTTGGACCATTTGGGGCTATTTTGGACCATTTTAGGGCTATTTTGGTCTATTTGTGTCTATTTTGGACCATTTTGGAGCTATTTTGGTGTATTTTGGACCATTTGGGGTCTATTTTGGACCATTTTGGACCATTTGGGGTCTATTTTCGACCATTTTGGGTCCATTTTGGACAATTTTGTACCATTTTGGGGCCATTTTGTTTTATTTTGGACCATTTGGGTCTATTTTGGTCTATGTGTGTCTATTTTGGACCATTTGGGGCTATTTTGGTCTATTTTGGTCCATTTTGGACCATTTGGGGGCTATTTTGGTCTATTAGGGGCTATTTTGGACTATTTTGGAGCTATTTTGGTGTATTTTGGACCATTTTGGGTCTATTTTGGTCTATTTGTGTCTATTTTGGACCATTTTGGGTCTATTTTGGTCTATTTGTGTCTATTTTGGACCATTTTGGGTCTATTTTGGTCTATTTGGGGCTATTTTGGACCATTTTGGGTCTATTTTGGTCTATTTGGGGCTATTTTGGACCATTTTGGGTCTATTTTGGTCTATTTGGGGCTAATTTGGACCATTTTGGGTCTATTTTGGTCTATTTGGGGCTATTTTGGACCATTTTAGGGCTATTTTGGTCTATTTGTGTCTATTTTGGACCATTTTGGAGCTATTTTGGTGTATTTTGGACCATTTGGGGTCTATTTTGGACCATTTTGGACCATTTGGGGTCTATTTTCGACGATTTTGGGTCCATTTTGGACAATTTTGTACCATTTTGGGGCCATTTTGTTTTATTTTGGACCATTTGGGTCTATTTTGGTCTATGTGTCTATTTTGGACCATTTGGGGCTATTTTGGTCTATTTTGGTCCATTTTGGACCATTTGGGGGCTATTTTGGTCTATTAGGGGCTATTTTGGACTATTTTGGAGCTATTTTGGTGTATTTTGGACCATTTTGGGTCTATTTTGGTCTATTTGTGTCTATTTTGGACCATTTTGGGTCTATTTTGGTCTATTTGTGTCTATTTTGGACCATTTTGGGTCTATTTTGGTCTATTTGGGGCTATTTTGGACAATTTTGGGTCTATTTTGGTCTATTTGGGGCTATTTTGGACCATTTTGGGTCTATTTTGGTCTATTTGGGGCTATTTTGGACCATTTTAGGGCTATTTTGGTCTATTTGTGTCTATTTTGGACCATTTTGGAGCTATTTTGGTGTATTTTGGACCATTTGGGGTCTATTTTGGACCATTTGGGGTCTATTTTCGACCATTTTGGGTCCATTTTGGACAATTTTGTACCATTTGGGGGCCATTTTGTTTTATTTTGGACCATTTTGGGGCTATTTGGGACCATTTTGGACCATTTTGGGTCTATTCTGGTCTATTTGGGTCTATTTTGGACGATTTTGTGTCTATTTTGGACCATTTGGGACCATTGTGGGTCTATTCTGGTCTATTTGTGTCGATTTTGAACGATTTTGGGGCCATTTGGGGCAGTTTTGGGGCAGTTTTGTGCAGTTTTGGGGCTCTTTGCGCTGTCCCGGCCTGACCCATTCCTGGGGGGGGGGGGGGTCCTGTTCTCAGTGCCGGGAGGCGCTAAGGGACGCCCTGGCGGCGTGGCGGGCGCTCGAGGCCGATCTGCAGCTGCACGTGGCCACGTTCGTGCCCCCCCCCGGGCTCCCCCCGGCCCCCGATGGACTCGTCCAGGTGGCGCTGCAGCTGGCGGTGGTCAGGGTGAGACGGGGACCCCCCTGTGGGACCCCCCCTATGGGACCCCCCTATGGGACCCCCCTGTGGGACCCCCCCTGTGGGACCCCCCTATGGGACCCCCCTGTGGGACCCCCCCATGGGATCCCCCCATGGGACCCCCCCATGGGACCCCCCCTATGGGACCCCCCCTATAGAGCATCCTATGGGACCCCCCCTATGGAACCCCCCCATGGGACCCCCCTATGGGACCCCCCTGTGGGACCCCCCCTATAGAGCATCCTACGGGCCCCCCACTATGGGATCCCCCCATGGGATCCCCCTACAGAACATCCTATGGGACCCCCCCATGGGATCCCCCCATGGGACCCCCCTATGGAACCCCCCCTGTGGGACCCCCTCAATGGGACCCCCCATAGAGCATCCTATGGGACCCCTACTATGGGATTCCCCTATGGGACCCCCCCATGGGACCCCCCTATAGAGCATCCTACGGGACCCCCCCATGGGATCCCCCCATGGGACCCCCCTATAGAGCATCCTATGGGACCCCCCCATGGGATCCCCCCATGGGACCCCCCTATGGAACCCCCCCTGTGGGACCCCCCCATGGGACCCCCCTATAGAGCATCCTACGGGACCCCCACTATGGGATCCCCCCATGGGACCCCCCTACAGAGCATCCTATGGGACCCCCCCTATGGGACCCCCCCTATGGGATCACCCCATGGGACCCCCTCAATGGGAGCCCCCTATGGAACCCCCACTTTGGGACCCCCCTATGAGACCCCCTCGATAGAGCATCCTATGGGACCCCCCTATGGGACCCCCCTGTGGGAACCCCCAATAGAGCATCCTATGGGAGCCCCCCTATGGGACCCCCTCAATGGGAGATGGGAGCCCCCTATGGAACCCCCACTTTGGGACCCCCCTGTGGGACGCCCCCGATAGAGCATCCTATGGGACCCCCCCTATGGGACCCCCCTGTGGGACCCCCCTATGGGACCACCTCAATGGGACCCCCCCCCATGGGAACCCCCTATGGGAAACCCCCCTATGGGACCCCCTTATGGGACCCCCTATGGGACCCCCCTATAGGACCCCCCCTATGGCCCCCCCCATAGGACACCCCCTATGGCCCCCCCTATAGGACCCCCCCTATGGGACCCCCAACACCAATCCCCACGGGGATCCCCGCTATGGGACCCCCCCAAATCCCCCCTATGGGAACCCCCCAAATGGGACCCCCTAGAACCCCCCCCCCCCATGGGGACCCCCCCCATATGGGATCCCCCCATGGGACCATCCAAAACCCCCCATAGGGACCCCCACAATGGTCATTTTGGGTCATTTTGAGCCGTTTTAGATCATTTTGGGTCATTTTGGGGCGTTTTAGGGCATTTGGGGGCATTTTAGGGCATTTTGGGTCATTTTGACACGTTTTAGGGCTGTTTTAGGGCGTTTTGGGGTGTTTTATAACGTTTTGGGTCATTTTGAGGTGTTTTAGGGCTGTTTTAGTGCTTTTTGGGTCATTTTGAGGCGTTTTAGAGCATTTTGGATCATTTTGAGGTGTTTGGGGGCTATTTTAGGGCATTTTGGATCATTTTGAGGGGTTTTGGGGCTGTTTTAGGGCGTTTTGGGTCATTTTGAGGCGTTTTAGAGCATTTTGGGTCATTTTGAGGCGTTTTGGGCTGTTTTAGGGCATTTTGGGTCATTTTGAGGTGTTTTAGGGCTGTTTCAGTGCATTTTGGGTCATTTTGAGGTGTTTTAGGGCTGTTTTAGATCATTTTGAGGTGTTTTAGGGCTGTTTCAGATCATTTTGAGGTGATTTAGGGCTATTTTAGATCATTTTGGGTCATTTTGAGGTGTTTTAGCGCTGTTTCAGTGCATTTTGGGTCATTTTGAGGTGTTTTAGGGCTGTTTTAGTGCATTTTGGGTCACTTTGAGGTGTTTTAGGGCTGTTTTAGTGCATTTTGGGTCATTTTGAGGTGTTTTAGGGCTGTTTTAGATCATTTTGAGGTGTTTTAGGGCTGTTTCAGCACATTTTGGGTCAATTAGAGGTGTTTTAGGGCTGTTTTAGATCATTTTGAGGTGTTTTAGGGCTGTTTCAGCACATTTTGGGTCAATTAGAGGTGTTTTAGGGCTATTTTAGATCATTTTGAGGTGTTTTAGGGCTGTTTTAGATCATTTTGAGGTGTTTTAGGGCTGTTTCAGTGCATTTTGGGTCATTTTGAGGTGTTTTAGGGCTGTTTCAGTGCATTTTGGGTCATTTTGAGGTGTTTTAGGGCTGTTTTAGATCATTTTGAGGTGTTTTAGGGCTGTTTCAGTGCATTTTGGGTCATTTTGAGGTGTTTTAGGGCTGTTTTGGGTCATTTTGAGGTGTTTTAGGGCTATTTTAGATCATTTTGGGTCATTTTGAGGTGTTTTAGGGCTGTTTTAGATCATTTTGAGGTGTTTTAGGGCTGTTTTAGATCATTTTGAGGTGTTTTAGGGCTGTTTCCGTGCATTTTGGGGTCTCTTTGTCGCCCCCCCCCCCCCCCGTGACCCGCCGTTGACCCCACGCAGGAGCGCGGCGCGTGCCTGACGTACGAGGCGGTTCCCACGCGGCTCTTCCTGGAGGGGCGCGCGGAGGCGGCGCGCGGGTGCGGGCGCCCCCTGCTGGAGCTGGCGGACTCCATGGAGGACCCCAAGGCCACGGTGAGGGGGGGGGGGACACCCCGATATAGGGGTCAATGGGGGGGGGGGAGACCCCAATATAGGGGTCAATGTGTGGGGCAGACCCCAATATAGGGGTCAATGTGGGGGGGAGACCCCCATATAGGGGGTAATGGGGGGGAGACCCTAATATAGGGGGTAATGGGGGGAGACCCCAATATAGGGGTCAATGTGGGGGGGAGACCCCGATATAGGGGGTAATGGGGGAGGGGAGACACCAATATAGGGGGTAATGGGGGGGGGGAGAGCCCAATATAGGGGGTAATGGGGGGAGACCCCAATATAGGGGGTAATGGGGGAGAGACACCAATATAGGGGGTAATGGGGGGGAGACACCAATATAGGGGGTAATGGGGGGGAGAGACCCCAATATAGGGGGTAATGGAGGGGGGGGAACCCCGATATAGGGGGTAATGGGGGGGGAGACCCCAATATAGGGGTCAATGTGTGGGAGAGACCCCTATATAGGGGGTAATGGGGGGGGAGACCCCAATATAGGGGGTAATGGTGGGGACACCCCGATATAGGGGTCAATGGGGGCGGAGACCCCCATATAGGGGTCAATGTGTGGGAGAGACCCCAATATAGGGGGTAATGGGGGGAGAGACCCCAATATAGGGGGTAATGGGGGGGAGAGACCCCGATATAGGGGGTAATGGGGGGGAGAGACCCCAATATAGGGGGTAATGGAGGGGGGAGAGAGCCCAATATAGGGGGTAATGGGGGGGGGAGACCCCAATATAGGGGTCAATGTGGGGGGGGGAGACCCCCACATAGGGGTCAATGTGTGGGGCAGACCCCAATATAGGGGTCAATGTCAGGGGGGAGACCCCCATATAGGGGTCAATGGCGGTGGAGAGACCCCCATATAGGGGGTAAAGGGGGAAAGAGACCCCCACATAGGGGTGAATGTGTGGGGCAGACCCCGATATAGGGGTCAATGGGGGGGAGACACCAATATAGGGGTCAATGTGGGGGAGGAGACCCTCATATAGGGGTCAATATGTGGGGCAGACCCCAATATAGGGGTCAATGTGGGCGGGAGACCCCCATATAGGGGGTAAAGGGGGAAAGAGACCCCCACATAGGGGTCAATGTGTGGGGCAGACCCCAATATAGGGGTCAATGTGTGGGGCACTGACCTCGAATAACCCCCCCCAGCCCGCCCTACGGCGCCGCCTCCTGCAGGGGGCGCTGCGGGACGTGCGCGCGCGCCGGCGCGCGGCCGCGGCGGGGGCGGGGCTTGACCGGCACCTGCAGGCATTGGCGGCTACGGCGCGGCTGCTGAGGCTCCGCCCCCCGCTGCTGGAGGAGGTGGGCGGGGCTTGTTGCTATGGGTAACAACGGGGGGCGGGGCTTGTTGCTATGGGTAACAACGGGGGCGGGGCTTGTTGCTATGGGTAACAACGGGGCGGGGCTTGTTGCTATGGGTAACAAGGGGGGCGGGGCTTGTTGCTATGGGTAACAATGGGGGCGGGGCTTGTTGCTATGGATAACAACGGGGGGCGGGGCTTGTTGCTATGGGTAACAATAGGGGCGGGGCTTGTTGCTATGGGTAACAACGGGGGGCGGGACTTGTTGCTATGGGTAACAAGGGGGGGCGGGGCTTGTTGCTATGGGTTACAAGGGGGCGGGGCTTGTTGCTATGGGTAACAACGGGGGGGCGGGGCTTGTTGCTATGGGTTACAAGGGGGCGGGGCTTGTTGCTATGGGTAACAATGGGGGGCGGGGCTTGTTGCTATGGGTAACGGGGGGCGGGGCTTGTTGCTATGGGTAACAACGTGGGGGCGGGGCTTGTTGCTATGGGTAACAAGGGGGGCGGGGCTTGTTGCTATGGGTAACAACGGGGGGCGGGGCTTGTTGCTATGGGTAACAATGGGGGGCGGGGCTTGTTGCTATGGGTAACAATGGGGGCGGGGCTTGTTGCTATGGGTAACAAAGGGGGCGGGGCTTGTTGCTATGGGTAACCGTGGAGGGGGGCGGGGCTTGTTGCTATGGGTAACAATGGGGGGCGGGGCTTGTTGCTATGGGTAACAACGGGGGCGGGGCTTGTTGCTATGGGTAACAACGGGGGGCAGGGCTTGTTGCTATGGGTAACAACGGGGGGCGGGGCTTGTTGCTATGGGTAACAACGCGGGGCGGGGCTTGTTGCTATGGGTAACAACGGGGGCGGGGCTTGTTGCTATGGGTAACAATGGGGGCGGGGCTTGTTGCTATGGGTAACAATGGGGGCGGGGCTTGTTGCTATGGGTAACAATGGGGGGCGGGGCTTGTTGCTATGGGTAACAACGGGGGGCGGGGCTTGTTGCTATGGGTAACAAAGGGGGCGGGGCTTGTTGCTATGGGTAACCGTGGAGGGGGGCGGGGCTTGTTGCTATGGGTAACAACGGGGGGCGGGGCTTGTTGCTATGGGTAACAACGGGGGCGGGGCTTGTTGCTATGGGTAACAGTGGGGGGCGGGGCTTGTTGCTATGGGTAACAACGGGGGCGGGGCTTGTTGCTATGGGTAACAATGGGGGCGGGGCTTGTTGCGATGGGTAACAATGGGGGGGTGGAGCTTGTTGCGATGGGAAACAATGGGGGTGGGGCTTGTTGCTATGGGTAACAATGGGGGGCGGGGCTTGTTGCTATGGGTTACAAGGGGGCGGGACTTGTTGCTATGGGTAACAACGGGAGGCGGGGCTTGTTGCTATGGGTAACAATGGGGGCGGGGCTTGTTGCTATGGGTAACAACGGGGGCGGGGCTTGTTGCTATGGGTAACAATGGGGGCGGGGCTTGTTGCTATGGGTAACAATGGGGGCGGGGCTTGTTGCTATGGGTAACAACGTGGGGGCGGGGCTTGTTGCTATGGGTAACAATGGGGGGCGGGGCTTGTTGCTATGGGTAACAATGGCGGGGCGGGGCTTGTTGCTATGGGTAACAAGGGGGGCGGGGCTTGTTGCTATGGGTAACAAGGGGGGGCGGGGCTTGTTGCTATGGGTAACAATGGGGGCGGGGCTTGTTGCTATGGGTAACAACGGGGGCGGGGCTTGGTGCTATGGGTAACAATGGGGATGATGCTTGTTTATGGGTAACAACGGGGGGCGGGGCTTGTTGCTATGGGTAACAATGGGGGGCGGGGCTTGTTGCTATGGGTAACAATGGGGGCGGGGCTTGTTGCTATGGGTAACAAAGGGGGCGGGGCTTGTTGGTATGGGTAACAACGGGGGGCGGGGCTTGTTGCTATGGGTAACAATGGGGGCGGGGCTTGTTGCTATGGGTAACAACGGGAGGCGGGGCTTGTTGCTATGGGTAACAATGGGGGCGGGGCTTGTTGCGATGGGTAACAATGGGGGGGTGGAGCTTGTTGCGATGGGAAACAATGGGGGTGGGGCTTGTTGCTATGGGTAACAATGGGGGGCGGGGCTTGTTGCTATGGGTAACAAGGGGGCGGGACGTGTTGCTCTGGGTAACAACGGGAGGCGGGGCTTGTTGCTATGGGTAACAACGGGGGGCGGGGCTTGTTGCTATGGGTAACAATGGGGGCGGGGCTTGTTGCTATGGGTAACAATGGGGGCGGGGCTTGTTGCTATGGGTAACAACGGGGAGGCGGGGCTTGTTGCTATGGGTAACAATGGGGGGCGGGGCTTGTTGCTATGGGTTACAAGGGGGCGGGGCTTGTTGCTATGGGTAACAATGGGGGACGGGGCTTGTTGCTATGGGTAACAACGGGGGCGGGGCTTGTTGCTATGGGTAACAACGGGGGGCGGGGCTTGTTGCTATGGGTAACAATGGGGGCGGGGCTTGTTGGTAGGGGTAACAACGGGGGGCGGGGCTTGTTGCTATGGGTAACAATGGGGGCGGG